TTGGTTGAAAAATAAAATTGTTTAGCCAATAGTGAGGCAGAATAAGGCTAGGTGCAACATTCAAACTGAAGATGGAGATGAAGAAGGGTGGAGTCACAGCAGATGCTATGAGCTGCTGCCAGGAGAAGCAAGATGTGAAAGAAGAGGTGATGCCATGAAGCCACATGGTAATGCATAGATTAATAGAAATGGGCGGAGTTAAGTTTTAAGAGCTAGTGAGCAAGATACCTGAGTCATAGGCCATGCACTTTGCAATTAATATAAGCCTTTGTGTGTTTACTTTATAAGCAACTGCGGTACCAGGTGGGAGAATCATCCAGAGAAACCTCTGACTACATTTGGGTGCCCAATGTGGGGCAAGAGTTTCCACCTAAAACCTGAGAAAACTTTAAAAAAGCATTCTAAAGTGGAGCCAAGAATAGCTGCCTAGTTTGTGTCTCTTATGCAGGCCATGACACAGTGGCATTTGAGCTTGAGCACAGCATGGCAGATTCCTGTCGCTGTATTCAAAGGCATGTCTAAGTTGCTCAGCACACAGTGCGGTGGATTTAGCTTTTGCTAGTATAAACAAACAAATGAAAAAGGTTTCTGGGCTTTCATACTGCTTGATGGAGGCATAGACCCACTGATTCCCAGAGTTGTCAGTGAGCATGGCTCCCAGAGCTAGTGGTAAACGTACCTCTGCCATATTGGGAAGCCAAATGGGGGCAGAGTCAACAGCCAAAGATGCCCTGCAGTTTAGCAGTTTAAAATCTCTCTTGGTCGAAAAAGGATTATAGATACACAGTAAGACAGATTCAGATGGAATAAACCTCTAAACAGTTTACAGTGTGTGTAAAATGTACATAGGATTGGAAGAGAGAGGAAAATGAGTATAGGCAGATATATAAAGAAATAAACAGTTTTAAAACAGTAAAATAAAGTTCTTTCTAGAAAGGGAGTAAAGTAATATAATAAAAATGAGCCACGTGAGGATGGAAAATGCACAGAAAGTCTGGATTATGTATATTATTGTGTTGTTTTTAAATTTTTTAACTGCTATGAGACATTTGACTATAAAAGCTGCAGGATTAAACCAACCTACATATTTTAAAAATATCTTGACTCCAAAATTTAAGTCAAAAGGTATGCCACTTTACAGGAGAGGTTATGTTTTTGTTTCCACAGGAAATGAGAGGCTATGGATTTATTCAAAATTAAAAATCAGATTTGATCAAGGAAGACCACCTGAAATTCTGACTATGGACATAAAAACATAAACCTGGAAGAACTGTAAGACACGTGATGTATATTTTACCTGCTCAAACGTAACAAAAAATTATCTTTGGCTGACTTATGTACAATGCACAGTCTATACTTGTATTAACACAGATATGTATATTGCCTTTAAAAGTTTATGTATTTTCAAGATGAGGAGACCAGACACCAGTGAAAACAAATAGCCCAGATGATTCAGCATCCCAAAATGCCTCTGTTGCAGAAAGACTTCAGGCTGCTGGCTGAGATGATTTAGCCTCACAGACTACTAAAGTCAGGACTTGACCATAATCCTAAATTTTCTCAGGGTCCCCATAAGATTAACAGTGCCCCTAATCAGCAGGAGGTAGCCTAGAAAACTACACTCATATTCCCCCCAAAAAAAGGATTATGGATGTTTGTCTTTGTTTAGGGAGTTAAAATGGAGGTATGATATAGAAATGATAGGATAGAGTAGATTGTTGAATCTACTTTAATTAAAAAAAAGCTATTAATCTTACATATGTTACATTGGTATGGATTTTGGTTTATTGATACAAATTTAAGGTTAATTTTATTTTACTGTATGTATATTTCTACTCTTGTTTAGGGTATTATGTTTATATAGCTTATTTTAAAATGTAATATATAATTAAGTAAAACAACTTAATGTTCATCTTAATAGCAAACTTATAGTCATGTTAGTTAGATTTTATAGATATGCAGAGATATATTTCAGATGGATAGGTAATTTTCAAACACTTCAAAGACATACAGAATATGGCATTTAAAATGTACTAAGAACTTAGACTTCTTGGGACATTGAGACATGTCTGCTCCTGGCAGCACCAATCTGCTTCAGAGAAGATGATGGACATCAAGGAAACTCTATATGGAATTTGCTCTCTTCATGACAAAAGTTAGCCATTTGGACAAGAAATTACTCTTACCTGACTGTTTGACAGTATGTTGTATAAACTGGATACACGGGACCCATAAGAAAGTGACCACTGAATTTTGCCAAAACAAAGCCAGGTGGTTCTTCAGGTTCCTGCTTCACAGAGAAGACTGTCAGACATTTTGCAGAACACAGGGAGAAGTGATTGATGAACTTTGCCAATGGGCAAGACAATCCTTCAAATTTCCGGCTTCACTACAAAGTCAGCCAGAGACTCTAGACCTATAGGCTAAAGATGGATGTCCCAACGTTGCAGAGGAACTTTGGGTGACTGTCCAGGAAACCAGATGTCTCTGTCAATTCCAGAATTTTGGAATTTGCTTAGAATACACTTCCTATTTACTTAAGTAATACTATATCCTTCTGGGGTCCTTGATAGAGTTGAAGACTAGATAGTTATGATTATAGTTTTGCTTAGTCATGATAAAAGAAAATTAGATATAAAACTGTAGACTCACAAAAATAGGATAAATGACAATATATTTTCTAATCTTGCCAAATACAAATAGACTAGATATTGTAACTGCAATTCCTGCTTGATAAGTGTTTAGTTATATAGAATATTACTATGTTAAAGTTAAAACCTTCCTTCTTGATTAGACAGAAAAAGGAAGGTGCTATGGAATGTCTTTCTATATGCTGTGAATATGGTTTGCTCTCATTGGTTGATAAATAAAATTGTTTGGCCAATAGTGAGGCAGAATAAGGTTAGGTGTTACATTCAAACTGAAGATGGAAATGAAGAAGGTTGAAGTCACAGCAGATACTACAAGCTGCTGCCAGGAGAAGCAAGATGTGAGAGAGCAGGTAACGCCATGAAGCCACATGGCAATGCATAGATTAATAGGAATGGGATGAGTTAATTTGTAAGAGCTAGCTAGCAAGAAGCCTGAGCCATAGGCCACATAGTTTGTAATTAATGTAAGCCTCAGTGTGTTTATAAGCAGGTATGGGACTGGATAAAAGATTTGTTCAGAGAAACCTCCTGCTACCGTTACCTCTCTAATTCTTTGGAATTCCTGGAGCTACTGGGAAGTCTGCTTTATCATGGTAGGCCATGAAGCCTTATGCTGCTCAGTTCTTTCATAGTTCATGCTAACAAGATGATTTATGGTGGGAGCTCACTATTTCAGAAACACTGACCATGTGATCAAAGTGTGAAGCCTTTGAGCCATGAGATGCTCAACCCTGGCAGGGAAGTGATGCTGAAGGCTGAGTTCACTCTCTCATCAACCAAACACTCAAAACTATATAATAAACTCTGAAAAATCTCTGAACATCAGAGCTCAGATGAGTGCCCCCTGGTTGGCCTATTCTGTATACTGCTGCTCCTTAACATTCTGGGGAGGAGATGCATTCATGAGGTCAATGAAGTTCCCTATTTGGGACCCTCTGACCTCACCTGATCTGTCCCTCCCTTTAGTTCTGCTTGGTAGCTTTCTACATAACAAAACTATAATCTTTTTTAAAGAATCTATTGATTTATTTTTTAAGATTTATTTATTTATTAATTATCTATATAGTGTTCTGTCTGCATGTATCCCTGCAGGTCAGAAGAGGGGACCAGATCTCATTACAGATGGTTGTGAGCCACCATGTGGTTTCTGGGAATTGAACTCAGGACCTCTGGAAGAGCAGCCGTGGCTGCTCTTTACCTCTGAGCCGTCTCTCCAGACCCAAAACTATAATCTTAATAGAACAGAATCATTAGTTCAGTGGGTCATCCTAACAACTCATAAATCTGCAGGTATCATGGGATCCTGAGACTCGGCAGACAGTTGACTTGAAGTAATGGCATCTTTAAGAACTCCTGGGCTTGAAGCTTGAGTCTGAAATGAGAACAGTCTTGTGGGGGTATGGCCAGAACTTGTAGAATAATTTAATTAGTAAATGAAATGTTTTTGGATATGGTTTACCAGAATAGCCATAGAAACATTTTGGGGATGGATGAGGAAATACAGGCAATATCACACATCATCTGAGAAAAGAGATGTTAAATTTTCTATCAATGATAATGGCACTATTCTGTTGTGCAATGACAATTTCAGCTGATATACACTGAAATAATGACTGAAGTGTAATTTATCAAACTAACTCTCAAGTGCCCTATCAAGTAACGTGCATATGTATGTATATACATACATATATATCAAATTATCAAATAGTCAACAATCATTATTATAGATGGTAATTATATGAATATTGATGATACCAGCCAGTCAACTTCTGTTTCAAAATATTCATGATAAGAAGTTGAAAAGGCTTCCAAAGTGTTAAGCAGCATGCAGGCTCCATGGGACATGTGGCTCTCCTCAATGTCCATCCACAGGACACAGGCTGTCCCTAATGCGGCAGCACAGGGTGGGACACCAAGAACAACAGTCGGTGCCAGTAGAAGGTTGGCTGTCATCTTCTTAGACTTGCTCTTAGGAAGGTCACCCAGCCAGGATCAGCCACCATGAGAGGCCCACATCAGCCTCATGGTACCCACAGCACCTGACACACTAGCCATGGGGACCAAGATCCTGAGTGGGTCCTGGTAGGACAGGTATTTGGAGAAATGAGAAAATGCTGATGGAAGGGCACAACTGCCAGAGAAAATGTGAGTAAGCACTGAGGATCAAAGTGACAATAGGTAACAATGTCATCCTGTCTGTCTGAATTTTCTTAAGAAGATCTTAAATGTTCTAACACCACACACACACAAAACAGACAACCAAGTTAGATAATAGAGGGTGCTGTTCACCTGATTGTGGCAGCCAAGTTCAATACATTTCCATAGCAAGTCAAGACAGTGTAATGTAAATATACATTATTTATTTGTCAAGTATACATCAATAAATCCAAAGACAGAGGAACAAAGAGAGGGGGAAATGTCTAGAGGGTCCACACCATACAATTCTATCATCAAATAAGACTGTAGGAATCTAGGAGTGGGCAGAGAAGCTGGAGTGCTTCCACATATGCACATATGGTCCTGTAGCGTCTCTAGAATATGGGAAATTTTCATTACATGAAGAGTAAAGGATGAATTGATAAGTATATATGGGGACCAGTATTATCATATGGATAACTGTTGGTTGCCTACCCAAATATCTATGGACTTTTCTTCCACAAGAAGATCTTTCCAGGTATCCATGTAGTGCTGGATAAAAATGCAATCCCATGTCCATGGACAATGCTCGATTCATACACATATTTTCTTCATCTGACAAACTGACTTCTGTTTACCACTGCAAAGGCTGTCAGCCCAGCCCCAACCAGAATATGGATGATTTATTATAACACATTGTTCATTGTCACTGCTGGGCTCACCTGGGTGCCAGAACCTGAAAAAAAAAGGAAAGAGCATCAGGGTGTTTCCCACAGTGATGCTGGGAAAGAGAAAACAAGAGTAAGCAAGCCTCAGGATGTGGTGGGAATTTGTGGAAGCAGATTCAAGTGTGTACAAACCAACCATTCTCCACAACCCGTGTCTGACATGTCCCTAGAAAATAGGGTCCACTGCACTCAATATTCTCTTAGCTTGTTACTCAACTGCTCTCCCAGAACACATCCCAGAGGCTACTTCATCCCTAGGTCTTGGTAACTGGGGACTATACCATGGAGCTCATAAGAGGGTGTTAGATTCCCTGGAGCTGTGGTTACAGGTGGTATGACCATGCAAATATGAGTGCTAGGAACAGAACTCACACAGTTCTTGGCACAAAAGTCCATAAGCTTATATATATGTTGAAAAGGTATCTCCCTATTCTTGTGTTGTAATAAAGTATTTTTTTCATTTTACAATAGTTTTATTTTAGAGACTAGAAAGCTACTAAAAATATCTAGATAATCCACTTATTTCTGTCATCTAGGAAAGTAATTTACTATCCTGGATTCCTACTTTTCTTCCCTGAAAACTGAGAATAACAATAACATTACTACCTACTTCTCACAACAGAAATCAGGCTAGAATATGGGAACATGCTAAGATATTAGAGTTTTTAAATAATTACATAAATATGACACATAAAATATCAGATTGAGTGCTTTTGCTTTAAGAGAAATAATCAGTTATGATCTCGACATTAATTTTTGTTATAGATATAAAAGAAATCTGGAGAGGTGGCTTAGAAATTAAGAGTGTTTGCTGCCTTTCCAGAAAGTGGGAGAGTTCTGTTCCCAGCACTCGTATTGGCATGGTCACACCAACTCTAACCACAGCTCCATGGAATCCAACACCCTCTTATGAGTTCCATGGACACCCACATACACATGGCACACACTCAAGAGAGACACAGATATACGCACAAATAAAAATAAATTAAATCCTATTGTTAAATAGAGAGAGAGACTGAAAGGATAACGAAACCCACCATGGTGTAGCACCTTGTTTGGGTGCCCTGGGTACTTATCGTCCTACACTCTTCAAACTCAATTTCCTCATCTCTCCTGGAGTATCAGTGACATGTGGCTCACAGGATGCCTTGATGAGGAAATGGGGATAAAGTAACTCCATCCCCAGCACTCACACCAGGAGGGAGCTGTTTTAGTTTCATAACCAACAGCTGGAACACCCTAAAGTTTTCTCATGCTACAGGACCCAGGACTCCTCTAGGTAACTCTGTTACTCACGTGGCACTTTCATTGTATGGTGTCTGATCAACCCAGCGCCACTGTCGATGACCTGGATCCGAAAGGCCAATATAATAAGCAGCTTTAGGATCCAGGATCTTGGTGATGAAATCCTAAGAGGAAAGAAAGATACAGCATTCAGCCTGGATGGAGTGCTTCTTTTTATGTTATTGAATTTTATAAGATCTTTTAAAAATTATTTTAACTATATAAAATTATAGGACCAATATAATGCACCTATGGAAATACATAATATTAAATCCTAGTTTGTCTCTCTAAGCCCTTAAATAGTTTTCAAATTTTAGATGAAGACACAATAATTACACATTTTAGAGATACATTGTGATACTTTGACTGACTTTTTTTCTGGTCACACAGAGATGAGAAGACAAAGGAAGGATCAAGGAATAAAAGAGCCACCCCCACCCCCAGGAGTGCCATCTTCTCTGGCTGACCAGGACACAAAGTCATCACTCAGAGGCCTGATTTCCATGACACTGGAAACAATCTCTGTCTGTCATCATAATGAATTCTCATCTCAGACTCACTCCCCTCTTTTCTTCCCCAACACCATTCTTGAAAGTTGTGAATAAGAGAATTTAGCAGATTTAAGCATTCTCCATCACAACCTCAGATATTTCATTTCTGATGGTTGGCTGTGACTCTCCTGATTTGATCCCCTTTCCCTAGTCAGCTCTGCGCCCTCCTCTGTTAGGCAGTGGGTACTACAGGAAGCATTAGCGTGCTGAAATCACAAACTGCTCTTTCCAACAGAAACATTTCATCCTTCCTTCCACCTCAGAGGTTGCATTTCCGTTGCCATGGTTCCTTGTGGTTTGTTTAGCTTCTATGAAGCAGGGGCAAGGTGTAGAATGCCAAGGCTGAAGCAACCTTTCCAGCTTCCTAATGGAAAGCCTTCTGCCACATCAGCAACACCCATGTCAACAAAACTCCCTCTTAGTTAAAAGAGGCAGAGAGCAGGCCAGGCCCAGGCCCCACTCTCTCCCAGGATGCACCTGCTCTTCCTGGCTGTGGATCACCATCAGATGAGCACCCATGCTGGAGCACTTCTCCTCACTCTCACTCCAAGATGCTGAGTCGGTTGCAGTGAAGTAGCAGTGGGTACTAAATGGCTTCCAGTCCTTTGGGCAACAGTTCCAGACTTTGTCTTGGAGGAAGAAAGAAATGTAAGTGCAATGTCATAAAGTCATTTTAAATCCTGCTTGATGTGGAGACCACAAGGAAGTTGGGACTCCCCACTTCTACAGATACAACAAGGAACCCCTGGGCCCTCGGATGGCAAGAAACTTCAGTCTACCTCCATCTACACTAACATCAGAGCCCGTTTGTTCTACTGGAATACAGTCAGGAAAACAAGTGTAAAGAACACTCAAACGTTATGCCAAACAGTCTGGGTCTCAAGAATAGAACTCATCATACCAAGAACCAGAAAGTTCTCATATTACATAAATATGCACACATACACATATATGTGTGAAATATGTGTGTGTGTGTGTGTGTGTGTGTGTGTGTGTGTGTGTGTGTGTGTGTGTGTGAAAACAATAGATGTCATTAACCAGGGCCTCAAATTTTCAGAGTTAGAAGACACAGAAGACAGATGAACACAAAAAGAACCACAAGCATAAGCCCACACAGCTAGAGCCACCTGACTTTTTCACCAAAAATAATTATTGGAGGAAGATAGGCTCTTCAACAAATTGTACTGCAGAACAATGAAGCTAGATTCATAGCCATTGTGTGTTAAAAATTGACTTCAAAATAGACTCTAAATGGCCTGTGAGGCCTGGAACCCTGAAATTGTTACAGAAAAAAAAATAAAGAAAACAGTTCAAGATGTAGGAATAGGCAAACACTTCCTGAATAAGATTGCAATCTTCTTTACAGCAAAGGATCCAGTGAGTGAAGAGAGAGAGATCTGCTGAGAAAGGCAGGAATCCCAGACAAGCTGAAATGGTCTAGGGATACATGTGTTACCCAAAAGGTATTTTGTCAAAGACAGTACACAAACTGTGTCTGTTTAGGACCAGATGGTTTATTCCAAAGACATTTCAGTTACAGATGTCAAAGACAGCCAAGAAAATTTGCTTACTTGGAGCCAAAGGGATAGATGACCTAAAGTACCCCCCCTTTCTTTCCTAAAATTAGATAATACATCTTCATCACTCCACCTTCCAGCTTAGTTTATGAGAAAAACAAATTCTCTATTCAAATGTTGAATAAATTACACTTTGTAGACACTGTAACTGAAAATGCAACAAGATCATCTCTCTCTCTCTCTCTCTCTCTCTCTCTCTCTCTCTCTCTCTCTCACACACACACACACACACACACACACACACTTATGAAAACACTTGAGGGACTATAGATATGGTTCAGTGGTTCAGAGTGTGTACTGCTCTCACAGAGGACTGGAGTTCAGTTCCCAGCACCCACAACCTGTGACTCACAACCACATCGAACTGCATTCACGTACACAAACCCACACACAGGCACGTGCATATATACATATTTTATTTAAAATTGAATTTTTAAACACACACCATTGAGCATGACTCCCTGGAGATGCTCACATTCATACCATCAGATTTGCTTTATTTTTTCTGGAGCTCATTTCTGTTTCTAATAAAATTCTACTTAGCCCGGTATTGCATCTCCCTCCTTGAAACTCTGCTTTACTGAAACAAAGGGGCACACATCCCAATTATGCCTGATTGGAGACCTCTAAAAAGGACTCCACAGGCAGCTGGTACTGGGTGTGTGGTACGAAGTCATGTCCCCATAGTGTCCATTGCTGATAGATCTAAATAAGAATCTTGTTGGAAATGCTGATCATAAGCATGTTAAGTTTTACCTTTCAAGAATGAATGCTGTTTTCTACACTCTAGTTTGGTGTAATTCAGTTCTTTTATGAGTGCTTTCTCTTCAAGAAGCTGAGAATATTTTTTAAACAAAGCTGTAAAGCAGAATAAAAACAATTCATTTTTTGTTAGTGCTAACAAACAAAAAATCCACTCTTTACATTTATCTTCTTACATTCTTTGTAGAAAGAAAACCTATAAATGTCCCATTACCTGAGTAGTTACAGCATGCCTGGGAAAGATTTCCCATCACCACAGAGTGTGGAGGCTGTGGCCCTAGCACTTGGGAATTAGAGTGAGGAAGAATGGAAGTTTCAGGTCATCCTTAACTATCCAAGTTAGTATAGTTGGTTGATTGGTTTAGCTAGCTAGTAAGTTTAGTTTAGTTGGTTCATTGGATAGTTTATTTAGTTGGTTAGTTAGTTAATGGCCAGCCTGGTCTACATGAGAACCTATCACAAAAAAAAGACCATTTTTCATCACCTCACAACCAGTATTACCCTTCTCCTAGTGATTTATGACCACAGCTATCTTCAGGAAGAGCTGGAAGGACAGGACAGATCCATGACCCTGGGTACTCTTCAACATTTCATGGAGGACACACTGAAGACTACATCTTAGGTGATAAGTTCTATTAAGTATGTGAGCACCCCAGGAAAGGTGATGGAGAAATGAGCTAATCCAGAGCAGTTCCAGGTTACCTGAGCACGGAAGTCATAAAAGAGCAGACAATGATCTAAAGGACTTTGTTTTCGTCCTCTTTCCTGTATCTCCCTCCCCGCAGCTAGCTCTGACTTCCCAGTGTCCCCACACTTTCACGGAGTTCCTAACTTAAAACCAACTCATCTTTCCTTGAGAAATTGAATTTTCTTTCTTCTCTTCCTCATCTCCCACTTGTTCCTGGAGTCACTAGACTCTGGCTTTCCCTTCTGCTCATTTACCAAACACTCCTGAACTAGATGTCAATGGCTCCTCCTGTCCACTAATCAGTCATCTTCCTGTGGGACTTCTCACATAACCCTGCCCACTTCTCTTCCTCCATAACTGTTGAGAGACATTGGCTCCCTCCAGTTTTGCCTGGTCCTGTTTGCTGCTCTTTCCTGTGCTCTTTTCTACCAGTTTTCCTCTACATCTACCTCTTTTAAATTGAAACATTGCATCCAGTTCCTTCTGTATCTGTCTTTCTCATCCAAATTCCTCTGTCTTAGTGATATTCATTGTCCTGGATTGTTGGGAGGGGGGAGTAGAGGTGGTTGTTTTTTTTTAGTCTGTTTTTGTTTTGTTGCATATTAGCAAAGTTCTTAAAAAAGTTACACCTCTTTCCTAAAATACGTTAATATGCATCAACTAAACTGTGCAATAGAAAATTAGGTGAACATAAACAAAACTTAAATCATCATATTCAAACTCATCTTCTTATGCTATGGGACACAGGAATATGAAATAGAGATTCAGCTGTATACGGTAAAGCTAAACCTAGAAGGATCAAGGAATCCTTCTGAAGGAAAAGTCGAATCTCAAGGAGTATTTGGTGTTATTTGGTATTAACATATCAGCTGTTTCCTACTATGAATCTTTTGTGCTCTCATAATTTCCTCAAGAATTTATAACAGTGTGAATGGACCATTCCTTGGGCATATACATTTAAAGTACTTGGATAAAGCACATAGACAAGGCTTTCTGCCTCCAGACTCCCTGCTCCCAGGGAAGTTAACCATAATGTCTCTTCTGAGGACCTTGCAAGTCTTGTATTGTAGTGTTGCTGTTTTG